TCATGTTAGGAGTCACAGGCCCAGTACGATTTTATGACAATGAACGGAAAGCCAGCATCTTGCTTAAACAGATCCAAAATGGAACAGACGTAAAAGTAGGAGAATACAGTGCTGCCATACAACATCTAGATCTTACTCTAGGAGATCCTCTTAAATGGACTGGGAAGTAAGTTCAAATTATATTAGGTAGATAYGTAATTGCGTAKTTGTCYATTTTTYTTCTCACTGTCTAATAAACGGCTTAGAAAATGTAATTAAATATAATAAAATAATTTGAGAAAACGGTTTAAATGCAGACAATTTACGGACCGACAACAGTAAAAAGTCATAAATTATATGTTTTCACTGTCTAATAACGGCTTAGAAAATTTAATTAAATATAATTAAAAWAAWTTGAGAAAACGGTTTAAATGCAGGCAAWTTACGGACCGACAACAGTAAAAAGTCATAAATGATGATATATTATTTTATACATCTGAAGCCATGTAAGTTTCATCTCGTAGGCCGACAAGAATATTAAATAATACTAACATTATATAAATGTTGAGATGGTAATTACRATTCGCTTGTTTTTAWATTGTTCAAATAAAACGCTGATRTATTTTTATTTATATTTWTTTTACCMTTCTATATGGGCTTYTWKGCTGCTGCAYTTTCTGTARAAAAATAAAGTWTAATTTACGTTATGGACATATTTTCTTCCTATCTCAAAAACCCATTTATTTATGAATAATTATAAGAAAACAGTGGCAAAAATCTGAATAGCTGAAAAGTCTACGCGMGAATGTAAAMAATTTAGTGGTATARTTAGTGCTTTTTCTAAACATATTAGCTCAAAACAATTTACGTTATGAAAYAAACGCTCTASATTTTTTAAATTAAACTGGCGYRTCGTTCGAAAAGTCTGTAACTTMTTTCTCTTTTAAATAYACCASGAACGTGACTAATAGTGYTATTTGTTGTTTAGCYATAWTGAAAATCARTGTTAGTTCCATTTTCTTTARACGTCAATGAAACTAATAAAACAGGYTCAAAATAAAKCATTTTTGAATAAAATTGTATGTTAAKAAAATGTTTYCAAAARTTTGTTGTAMTRTTATCTGCAGAAAAAAAMAATTGACTTGATMWWCATCMAATATSTAKATCCAAMAAAMAAAACTKKTYTTAACTTTTCCATATTTACTYCTGAAATRTTCTYCATGCATTATTTTGGCTKYATTTTATTTATAACAAATTAAAARTATGTGAATGCRAACCAATTTATCAACCACATSAAGCCTTTCGAAAATAATTTCATGAAACAGTAATATAAATAAATATACAAAGGAAAACCACGATTTTGTAATTAAAACAACCCGAATTATTTAATTATATTTAAATTACTTTGCTATTGATTTCACTCATTTGTAGATATCCACCGAAAGATAGGACAGTTCTGATTATTGAGCATACCAGAGTAAACAAGACAGCTTATGCCATTTTAGCGACTTTGGCAATTTTAGGAATATTCATAGCTGCATTTTTCTTAGCGTTCAACATCAAATACAGAAATCAGAGGTAGATATTACACGATGTATTAGCCCAGATTAAATTAAATTTTAATCTATAAAAACAAGCAACAAAAAATATTTCATTGGTTTTCAGATATATTAAAATGTCCAGCCCTCAGCTGAATAACTTAATTATAGTTGGATGTATGATAACGTATACGAGCATCATCTTTTTGGGCTTAGATTCGGGTCTTTCAAGTATTGGTAAGTAGTACGAATTTAAATTATTTAGGAATTTATAAGTATTCCGTCCGCGTATTTAATGTAATTCAATGCAAGTTAATCATTTTAATTGGATACCACCTTTTTTGGTTTTTTTATACATTTAGTTAAAACGAGGTTTGTAACCACTTCGAATAACAAGACTTTAAGTTTTCGTCTTCCTTACTATAATCTTTATAGCAATTTATGCATTGATTATTTAGTCGTCGTTTACATATAGTTATTTTAGATATTTTGTTTGTATCCCTCGAGATTACTGACATTTCTTTTGGATTTTTAGAGGTATTCCCTTACATATGCACAGCTCGGGCTTGCACTCTAATGGCCGGGTTTTCACTGGCATTTGGATCAATGTTTAGTAAAACTTGGAGAGTTCACTCAATATTCACCGATGTAAAACTCAATAAGAAAGTGATTAAAGATTACCAGCTTTTTATGGTGGTTGGAGTTTTATTATGTATCGATGTTGTTATAATGGCTACATGGCAATTTGCTGATCCTTTCTATCGTGACACCAAACGCGGCGAGCCATATGTAAGTAAAACTGGACGAAACGGAAAGTTGATGCCCGATTTTTGCTTACGCTGCTAATTGAAAAATGGGGAAAATCGTATGAAATATAAACATCATGTAAAACTTGGGTTTTTTGGATTCAAATTGGTCTATTAGATTGTATTTTTTAAATCAAAAGCACGTTTAATCAACAGTGAGTGAGTCCGTAGAAATAGCCGTATGTTATTTTTTCTAGTTCAAAAAATCTAATTTAGAGATTAAATGGTTAAAATTTTATTACCTCATTTCAATAAAAAAGCAATCATTTTATGTAAAAGAGCCAATATTCCTTCTTTTCGTCTATGAGGATGAACTTGAAGATTACCCCAGTTTTACAGAAGTAAATATTAAAAGTTCATTTGGAATATCCAATTACTTCGCAAAGAACAAAACAAGCAATAAATTTGCTTGTTAAAAAGGACCTTAACTTTCAATCAAAGAACAGTTAAATTCTGTAAATACAAGCTGTTTCAGTTAAAAAATCGAAGTTTGGATTAGCCGAGTTTTAACAGAGCTTGACGAGCTTCACCCTGTTTTAATAGTAACTTTTTCTTTAAAAATTATTTTTTTTGTTGCGCTTAATGAGACACTTAGAAACAATACCAGAACTTAGTTACTAAATCCCATTTTAGCTTCATCCGTCAAATGAAGATGAAATTATTATACCGGAAAACGAGTACTGCACATCTTCGAAAATGACTATATTCATTTCTTCCATTTACGTATACAAAGGTCTTTTGATGGTAAGTCAACATTGGATGGATGCCAGCATTAGAAGAGACTAATGTTGCTGAATGTTGTAGATATTTGGAGCATTTTTGGCATGGGAAACTCGACATGTTTCCATTCCAGCTCTAAACGACAGCAGATACGTTGGCTTTTCCGTTTACAATGTGGTAGTAATGTGCATTCTTGGAGCAGCAGTTGCTCTGGCTTTAGTTGACCATCAAGACGCAATGTTTCTGATAATTAGTTAGTATATTCGTATTACAAAATTATATTAAATTGGGCATTTGGTTTATTTGTTTCAGGTTCTTTTATAATATTTTGTACTACAATAACTTTGTGCCTTGTGTTCGTTCCGAAAATGCTCGAACTGCGCAAAGATACCGGAGGCAGCATAGACAAGCGAATTCGTGCAACACTGAGACCCATGTCGAAAACTAGACGAGAATCCAGCGTATCAGAAATAGAAACGAAAATGAAGGACTTGAAGGAATTAAATATAAAATATCGAAAAACGTTGTCGGAAAGAGATAGTGAACTGCAGGTATCTAGCCAGCTATTTCACGCACCAGCCCCGAGTTAATTTGCAAATTGTAGATGCTGATAAGGCAATTGGGCAATGAAGCAAATGAAATCCTAGAGCAGAAAACTGAGGACTCTATAAGTGATACTAATCGCCTTTCGGTACCACTTTTACGCAAAGAAATGCCAAGTGCCACTGAGACAAGTGACCTAACATCTCTTTGCAGCCTTAGTTCACAAGCAGACTATGCATCATTGCATCATTCGGATAGTCAAAAGTAAGTAAAAATCAACAACAATTTAATTCTTTTTAATAAAAAAAGTAAATAAAATAATTGAAAATAACACATTTTCTGTTCACATATGTATGTACTTCTGACAACCTAATTCCTCGTAGATTTTAATCTCTTGTGTTCAAAAGGGCTGCAAATATACACATAAAAAATAAATTAACATTTGAAGAGTTTTTACGACGTTGCTCTTTTTAATAAATAAATTATTGGTTTTGAGAAAAACCTGAAAATCACTCATATATTTTATTCATCGACTTTTCCATATACAATTTATATTTCAAAATTTTGGTTTATTTGTTTTTTCTTCTTCCGTATACCTGACAAGAATAGATGTATTAGAATAAAACTTTAGACCTTTTTTTTGGTTTTAAAAATTTGTAGCGAGTCCTAACTTAGAAATGTATTTTGCTGATTTGGGGATATTTCAGCAAATTTGTGCCAAAGTTGGTATGGTATACACGTTGATTCAAAGTCCCTCCTGTGAAGGTGTTGTGTATGTACAAAGTACAGAAAAAATTATGAAACAAATTATTTATACTCAAAGATACAGAGATATGCGGAAAAAACGAAACAGAAATATTGCAATCATGTTTTCGCTCGCATATGCAATGATAATTTTTTCATTAACATAATTTAAGTATCTGCTGCTTCATTGGTCAATTATCAAAAGTGCCTGGCGAAATAGAAAAGTAAAATTGAAAAACAAATTGAATTAAGAGAAGTCGGAGTTTCAAAATTTAGCTATTCAATTGATTTTCCGAAGCTACCATATTCCGTATTCAATACATTGCGCATTCAATCCATAAGTTTTATCACCTAATGGCGTAATTCATCACAAAACTGCTCACCTAATAAATTGTCAAATCAGCTTTGAAATACTTTAAAATATTGCCTAATATAAAAAATGTAAGTACATTTTTAACGCCCCAAAAAAACCCATTAAACAAATGACGTTAATTTTGAATCAGCTTTGTAGAAAATTTTCCAGAATAAACAAATTTTTAACTGCTACCAAACCAACAGTGTTTGTAACGGTTTCCTTTCGTAGTGGGAATAAATCGTGGTGATAAAAATATAGTCACTATTTATAAAAAAGATGTAAGTTATATGGTGCAAGATTCTTACTAAAAACATACACGGAACAGATTTTACTGAAGCAAAAACTGCCAGCCAATTTTTAAACACAAATAAAGCATTTGATAACGCTTGGATAATCATATCTGGTTGAAGATTGAGTCATTATTACACCATTAACCAAACCGAGTGCTCTTCAAAAGCAGAAACTTGACAAAAATTTCGTAGGGACGATTGTTACTAAAATCAAAATAAACAAATAACCTTCACAATTGGACCTTCTTGAGCTCTATCTGTTTAACTGAGTCCCAAATTCATCGCTGGTGGAACATTTTCAATTATAAAATATATATTTTTATTTTTTTTTACCAGCGCTCTCAACCCAGATTGTTTTTACTATGTATACTTGAATCTATTTTTGTAATAGTTCATATATTTGGACATAAACATTGCAACTCAGGGAAGAAAACTACAGACTGATAAAAAGTGTTTTTTTATCAACAACAATCTTTCCAGAAAGAAAAAACTTCCAGCAACTAACGAAACATCTCCTAAAAAAGTTGTAAATTCTCCCAAAAGTAAACGAATCGAGAATGAGCAATACAACCAATTGCTGCCATCACAGCAAACGAATCATCCCAAAAGCAAACCAGCAATAATTCAACAGTCCCAACAGCAAATTAATGGAACTGTGTCAAGAACTAACACGGATACCATTAAGGCAGAAAATAATATTAATAAGGAAAGTATAATGAAATTGGATAGCAATTACAACACTGTAAAAGAACCAAGTAAGGTGGTTTCGATTGCTGATAAAATCGACATTCAAAGATGTGACACACAGGTAGGATTTTTTCAATATGGTTACATCTTATTAATTCCAACGTACTCAAATTTAGATCAAGCCTTACCCGAGTGAACAACTAGAAAAGAAGAGAATTTCAACATTGGAGCGGCAGGGTCGAAGGACGCCAACTCATGAACGAAGAGTGTCCAGGACGGTCGGGGCAGTAGATTCAATAGAAATCCAAGAAAAGAGAAGAAGCAGCATAAAAGCTGTTGAAAGTGTCTTGGAGGACGACTTAGTTGTAAAAGGTACGATATGCGCTAGCTCTATTATGGGGAATTCAAGAATTACACTCTGTAGCAACACTCAAACGCACACGGTAAAACGCATGAAACTATTCGGGAAAACTTGCCAACACCACACAGCACACACATGCACAATCCCTATGCCATAGCCTATCAATTTGCTTTCCAGAAGGAATATGCCACAGAAGAACGAGTGTTCAGAGTAACATTCGCACCACCCCCAAGAAGAAGCCGGAATGCGGCACTCACGTGGTGGCTAAAAGCGAATTATGGGACACAGGGAGTCAACATAGGTGCCAAAAGGCGCATCAAAAGAGTAGTAGAGTTAGCATATCACAAGATGAAGGTAAGGTGCATGATAACATTTTGCGGATGAAATCTTTCTGCTGGAGCTTCATTTCCAGCCCTTTATCAATTTATTTTGAGCTGAGTTTTTCTTTCAAGTTTCTTTGATTGTGACAAATAGTTTCGCTTTTGTTTAGCAAATATTTTTACCACCGTCTTCAGAGTTTAATTAGTATATAGGTGGTATGTCAGATGTACGAATAAGAGAAGCGGCTGTATCTTCAAAACCAGTGAGGGTTGAGCAGCAGAGGACATTTACAATGTTGTAATTTTTCGGCTAATTGACGTAAACCGTGGTTCACAAAGAAATAATCACTAAATCTTTAAAAACGCTTCTATCAGATAAACCTACGTTTTATACAAGGTGTTTCAACCGACGCGGTGGAAGATTACGGCAATCTAGAGTGTAATTTTGAAACTATTTTTATGCGATATTGGCATTAACAGTGTCCATTTATTAAAACAATGTGGTTTACACAGGATGTCCCGAAAAATCCGTTGTAAAGCAAACATATGTTTTTATTAATAGACCACCCTGTATTAATATGCTGCAATGGGTTTTCTTACAAATCAAGATAACTTTTGTAGAAGGTTTATTCGGTCTGCGGTTTATAATTTACCAGATGAAGACACTTAAAGTTAAGTCACATTTTTTAAATGAAACACCTTATATATTATAAGGTTTTTTAACAGGCTTTCAGATAATGTCAAATTCAGAAATTTTTTCACAAGTTTTTGAATAAATTTGAAGCAAAGCCAACTTTTTTCAGAAATTAGCAGTATCAAACTCTACTACGAAATTGAACCAATAAGCCCCTGGACAGACAAATAATTTAGTAGATAAGACCGAACAGAGCAAACTAACAAGTTTTTGCATAATATTTATTTTTTGTCTCTAACCATGCACCTTACTACCCATTTAATGGTGTTTATCTCCGGAGAATGCCAAAAAATAGATACTTATTAGCCAGTAGGGTATACAAAGCCTCAGTTACGTACTTCGTTCCTCGAGAGCATACATGAGAGGTTAAAAAACACAGTTTGTTCATGTAATTGTTTTTCTTTTTGTCCCCCTAACGGAGATATTGGACTTTACGTTTAGATTTCCAACTTTTGTACAACTTTGTATATTACAATTATTTTTTGGCCAAATGTTTGTCTAAACAGAGTTACAATCTTATTTGCAAAACGGATCCTAAATATATTGAACACAGAAAGAAAAAAAGCAGGAGCGGCCTGCAGAAACAACCAATCTTTATTTTTTTATTTTTTTTAATTATTTTTAACTGCAAATATAATTTCTTGAGACTAGAGATTTTCAGCCAAAAAGCTATGCCTTACTTATTTATACAATTTGAACTATGTATATATGATAAATTGAACTACGTATTTTAAAGATCATTTGATTTCTGTTTAATTAATTTTAAATACCCTGCAGAAATTAACTTAAAATACAGTAATGTATAATTATTTCCTATGATACCGGCCCATAAATTTACCACAAAATTCATTATGTGAACATAATTTTTACGAATAAAAAAAACAACCAAAGGAAAGATTTTTTAACCCCTTGGTTAATTGTTGAGCTCCTTAAACTGATTATACAAAAATCAAGCTATTATTAAAACAGTTCAATTTATCGCAATAAATGAAGAGTTTTTTTTGGCGTAAATCTCCATTTCCTGAGTATCTAAAGTTAAAAAATTATATCTCTAGTTGAAAATAATGATATATGTTAATGTTGAAACTGAATGCTGCTGTTTAAACTGAATGTGCTTGGACCAGTTAAGGGGGTGTTAATATTTTTTTTATACGAACAAAGCGTATTATTTTTATCTCCTATATATGCTATCAAAACTTCCCTCTGTCTCCTTTCAAACCTCACCTGTGCACCCTGCATGTCCTCAACTTAAGGGACACCTTGTATACTACCCGATATCCAAATGCTGATAAAAATGGATAGTGGGAGCATTAAAAAATGTATCGGGTACATTTGAAGAAACAGAAAATGTTGCATTTGATAATCCACGCTATTACAAGCAGTCCAAGAAGACCCCGAGACCCGCAGGTTAACCTCTATTACAATACTACTTTATTAATTATTTAAACCTAAAATTTCATTAAATTTGATTACTAAATAACTAGAACGTAATAAAACAGTAATAAATAAAGATTCTAACTTAGAAATATTGGCATATTATGCCATTATTTCTTATTATGTAGTATTATATAGTATTCTAGCCCAGAATTGTGTTTAACTAATAATTTTTCATAGGAGGTGTTCAAACAGTTCAGCCTCAATAGCATACACATTATAGCTCTACACAAAAACGAACTTTTTTACCTTTTCTAAAGTTTGTACTGAAATACTTCGAAAAGTTTGTCTTATTAGTGTTTTCATGTCTTTGAGCTAATGTTGGTAACCTACTGTTTGTAAACTTCAGCCTTAACATGACCCCATAAGAAAAAGTCGATTGGTGTTATGTCAGGTGATCTAAGTGGCCATTCAATTGTACCACCACGTCCAATCCAACCACTTATCTTCCATTCATCTAGTTAACTTCCCATAGTCTTTATGTAGCTACTGTTCCGATTTTTATAATTCCTTACAGACTTAATACAATAGTGTTCCAAATTTGAAAGTGTGACACAAACTCCCACTCTCGTTCGTTGGACTCAGTTCCGTTGCTGGGATAATGTTGATGGCTGCTTTATTTGTTTTCAGATTTATTTTAAGGGTCATTTATTAATAATATTGATAAAAGTTCTTCAAAATTTCAGAATTTTCCAGTTTTAGCCAAGTTACTCTTTCTTCTAAATGATCAATTTTCTTAAGTTTTGCTTAAAAATGTTGACAATCTTAAGGTAGTTTCTATGGAAAATTATGAAATAAATTTCGAATCCTTCGTCGCTTTGTAAAAAGTTTTGAAATCCTTTTCCAGCGTCAACTTTGATACAAAAATCAAATAATTTTCTATCAGAAAACGAACAGAATAAGCGATAGTTTATAACATATTATTTGCAAATCTCGTCACCTCCATTCCTCTGAAGACTGTAGAGTTTGTTTAAAAAAATGTGGTTTTTTAGTTTTTGCTGAGAAACACTCTATTTTGTAGAGTCTCACTTAAAAATACTGACGAACTGGAGGTCTTTTTTAGACAAAAAATTACAAGATAAATTTAAAGCTTTGTAAAAATGTTACAAAAACTTTTTTGAGCGCCGAATTCGGGACAAAAACGAAAATAAATTCCTCCCTTTTTTCCCCGAAAACCATTAGGGTTTTCTCCAAAACCGATCACAAAACTAAAAGTTTTTAACCGAAAACGCAAAAAAAGCATTATTTTCTGATAATTTTCTTCTTTTCTGACATCTTCTTTTCTGACGGGATCTTTTAAGCCCAAAATGACAAAATTAATTTTGCTTTTAATTCATTTTCAATAAGAAAATTCGCCTCATTCATCGGTTTACAGGGAACTTTAGAAAACCTTTTCAGCGGCGAATTTGGCACAAAAACCAAATAATTTTAKTCAKTKATTTACCGAAAGWAATTAAGATTATTTTGAAAAACGACCAGAGAGCAAAAGTTTACAAMAAATAATTTGGAAAATTCGCCGCCCTCACCGMTCTGAAGAWTTTTRAAGTTCCGTTAAATGTTCRGGTCATTCCAGTTTTAATAAAKTTTTTATTAAGCAATTSTTTCYACGCAAAYATTGCATCAGTTTTACTTAAAATACTGACAATCTTCAGTTATTTTCTGTGAAAAATTATTAGGTACGTTTTATTGGAACACTCGCCTCCTTMACAGCTTTRCAAAATTGTTTGGAAAACTTTTTGCAGCTTTGAATCATGGAYAAAATCTTACTGTAAAATTCTGGCAAACTGAATCTTTTATGCAAAAAATTAAGAGATCAATTTTAYACGAAAACTCGTCGATTTTCTTTGGACTCAGTTCTGTTGCTGGGTTCTGTTACAAAGTAGTAAAATGTTACTCAGAAAAAYGTTGATGMTYTKWTKAAGATGTTAAAATTCCAGTCTCGGGWCTCGTATAGCTCTAATAAAAAAAATGCAGCCAAGTGCGTTTAAGATAAATATAAAAAGCATTTCTTTTCGTTTTCTAAAGCTCGTAATCTTGCGAAACGTATTTATAGCAAATATTTAACATTTGGCATACAGCCCTAGAAAAGTTATTTTCAGACGGTTGCAAAACTCTATTTTTCGAATTTGGCGTCTCTATTTATTCAAATAATGCAAATTCAGATAATTGATTCACTATCAGTAGCAAATCTATAATCAAAGTACTTTTTCGAACAGTGAGCATTCCATTTTTTTACAAAAGCTTTGCTCTTATCCCAAGAACCATTAGCACCAATTTAATTAAAAATACTTATTTTTCCTGAATTTTCATTTTCAGATGATCCGCACATACATCGCACAACATCCGAAAGGAATCGGCACGGCTCTCAGAGGGAGAAACGTGAAAAATCACCAGCTAAATCGAATCCTTCCGAAGCTGCCAGTTGCAACATGTTAGGAAATATCCAGAGTCAGAAGCTGGGCTATTTTACTAGCACACCTAATGTGGCGGCGGCATTAAAGTCTAGTACTCATCCCCCTAAACGGGACAAATCCATGTATAATGCAACCTCTGAAAGTGAGTTATTGGATCGTGAAATTCTGCCGATTTTCCAGAAATTGTTGACCGAAAGAAATAAAAGCCTGCATAACATAGACTATTCGTTCGGTCGTTCGTGTCCGAATATTAGTATTAAGTGTGATATAGTTGAATATTTATAGGTTTAGAATCTTCTTTTTAATCTTAGCTTTAAAGCGATAACGAAATTCTAAAATGAAAATATTAGCAAAGTAATATGTAATTTTTAGGCACGTGAAATCGAAGTGCGAATGTAGCAACGTGTATTTATATATTTTAGTTTGTAAACTTCAAAGTAAATAATGAAAAATTAAGTCTGAAAAGTACTACGTGCACGTACGCGAAAAATGTATAGAAGCAAACACCTCAGACTGTTTAGTGAATACATTGATAGATATTATTTCACGCGTAAAATTCCACATGAATTTCAAATGTTAATTTGGGCTATTATTTATTAGCAAATTAAAATAGAAAATTTCTAGCAGTCGTGTTCAAGGAACGTAAAAAGCACTTTGATCAGATTTAAAAAAAAGTTAATTCAGATTTTATTAACCTATAACAATTAAGAGCAATTAAATTGCTGGTCCCTCTAACCGAAACCGAACCCGAATATTTTCAATATTTTCCAGTTTTACAGTTAGAACATGGAGTTTTTTAGATACGATGAAAAATACATATACTTAGTGCAATTATTAGAACTGATTACACAGGGTTCTAGTTCATACGCATATTAACAGTGATATTAAGTCATATTACTATAAATTATGCTGTTAACTAAATCGCGTCGATTATGTTCCTCTTATATGTTGACAATCTTCATGTTACTATTACTCTTTACAGGATGCGCTCTTACAATTATTAATTATTTTTTTAGCTAAGATGAACAGAAGAATTTTATAGAATATTCTAAACATGTTGTCAATTATTATATCAGCCCTGTTAAATTTCTGAATAAATGAAAAGTTTATAAATAGTAATTTACCTTACAAAAGTTGATCTTTCTGTTAGAATTTTATCACACAATTTGTTTCGCATTAACACAGTAGCTAAGGTTGTACATTAAATCAATATGTTATAGATCATAGATCCTTATAATAGTTATTGCTTGTTTTGAACATGAACATTTTTGCAAATTTTAGAATATTGTTATTGGATGGAATTCTTTGTAAGTAAAAGAAATTATTAGTAAAACTGACGTATTTTTATGGATCCTTTCTTCGTTTATCTATTGTGATAGACAGTACGTTTTCATTATACAGGGTGTTTTTTTAAATTTTCAAACCCTTAAATATTGCGGAAACGAGTGGTCCGAGGAAAAATGTTTCAAATAAAAAGTTTAAAAAAATATCTGGGAGGGGGGCGTTTGGAGTTCATTCATGTCAGAAAAGCAACGCCTACTTGGACCTTGTAGGCTAGGCAGGGGCCAACTTGAGAATTTCAAATAGTAACCACACCATTTTACTGGAGATTCGAATTCGAATAGTACGTCAAAAAGTGATAGTAATTTATCAAGACATTTGTTTTGGTTACCATTTGAAAATCTCAACTTGGCCCCTGCCTAGCCTACAAAGTCGAAGTAGGCGTTGTTTTTCTAACACGAATAAACTTCCCCCTCCCAGATATTCACTTCTTATTTGAAACATTTTTTCGTAGGATCACTCGTTTTCAAAATATTTAAGCGCTTCAAGATTTTAACAAAATCACCCTGTATATGGGCCAGCTCAATAATGGAGGTAACGGGAAAACTAGTGTCCAAACAATTTAAATTGATGTAAATCACAAAGCCTCTAATAAAAGCTATAAAAACAAGTTATTTCGAAAAAAAGACTTTTATTTTGTGACAAAAGTGGAAATCTCAGTCAGTTAACCGTAAGGAACCTTAAAGAAAAAGCAAATGTACGAGTAACAAAAACCCTAATGCAACACTTTCCCGAATCATTTTTCGAGCTCGAAGCCCAAAATCCTCGTCTAAAAGAAACTATCACACCTAACTATAAGAAAAATACAAATCCCTCCTTAAAACAAATACGACTTCAGAAACCTTTGATCTTTTTCCACAAGCCAAATCCCAAAAGAAAGCGGTTCAAAGTAATCAGAAAACAAGAGCAAGCATGAAAGTCTACAAAATTCCAAATTCTCCCTTCTAAGGCCAACAGCCCAACCTAATGCCCAGAAAACCAAAACCCCAAAACAAAGCGAATCAGTCCTCATCACTATTTCCTAATACTGAACTGGAAAGAACCCAAACGCTACTCTCCATAAACTCTTATAAAAATTAAATCATAGAAAAATTCACAAATGGAGTAGATACAAATGGATTGAGTCACCTCAAACTCGGGATCACAAGCAAATAATCCATCTTCTCCATTAAATCAACAGCTAACCCTTCGCCTAGATTCTTCAAAAGAGCAGAAAACCCGCCTTCACCATTAATGAACTCGAATCTCGCACAGAAGCTGAATAAATCCATGCAGAAAATATAGGGTTCACCCCTGAGCAAATTCATTCTACCGTATTAGTAGATGTCTCTTCAAACGTTTCTAATATGGCTAAACTACTCCATCTCAGAGATTTAAAAAACTGCACCGAAATCCAGTAGTTCCAGAAACGTCAACGCTTTCTTCTTCAAGGCAAGATACATCCCACAGTGCAAGAATGTCCAGAAGTTCGTCCATCCTGTCTCGAACGGCGGAGGAAATTTAATCTGTAGCAGATGGTCAGACAAGCATTTTCCAGAACAACTAGCCAAATGCTGTAACCGGAAGGATTTACCTTTGCTACTACTTCCAAAGTTCAAGAAGTGCTAACTACAAAATCCCAGCGAAGGAAATGCGCAAGGTTGCCCTATTCAGTAACAAACTGAAAGGAGGAACTTCTTGCGCCCAAAAAACTGCAAAATCGGAAAACACAACACAAATCATCTAAAAAAACACCCGAAATAAGTTTAGGCTGTAGGCAACTTCTCCTAATACAAGGAAACGAAAATGTTTCCATACGAAGATTACCTAAAAAGTAAAACTGTAAAAAAGTAAAAACTGTAGAAAAGTAAAAAGCTGTCTGTAGTAAATATATTATACGAGATAGTCGCATCGAACTAATTTTTATTGGACTTTGACTTGGAAGGTTATAAATAAAGCATAAAGCTGGACCAAACTGATTCAAAGTTGGCGTCATTCATTTTAAGGGGTAATAGAGGCTCACTTGGTGAGTGCGATAATTAATAGTTGAAAATCAAATGTCAACTTTGTTATCAAGCATTAATTTTCAATGGTCCCATCTTTGATTGGTAGCCTTTTAAAATACACCATTCGTAATGAAAATTTACGGTCTTYGCTTCAAATTTCAAAAATTTTTKATATTAAAAAAGTTYTGTTTTACAATGTTTTGATTAAAAGTCGAAGCGGCAATGATGTTTTTTGTCATTAACAGATTATTACAGGTAGATAGTATTTCTTTCACAAAATGTAGATTGGCTCCAGGAAGATTTTAGACACAGAGGAACAAAGTATTGGTCATAATTGCAGCAGAGCTTTCCAGGGGTACTCGCAGCACAATAACTGACCTTTTCGCAAGCGCCAAGTAAATACCGAGGAAGGGCTGCATTCCTACCACGAATGTAAGATACACACAGCACAGGGACACATTAAACCAATGGATTACTGAACACCAGCACACATTGAGCAGGAGTTAATTATCCGAATACGAGAAGCTGCTCGACATGAGTGCACAATAACGTGATCACAAAGAACAATTTCTCATTGACAATCTGACATTTCGTCGAAAAAAGTATACCCTACACGAGGCCTCCGTCTTACGGAGGCTACGCCCTACATGTAACAAATCTTGTTGAATTTAGCGTTTATCCTCGTCTATTTTATTGTGATTTTCTGTATAATTCCATGGTTACCCGAGTTTTTAATAACTACGAAAAAACAGGTATTTACGTAATGTTAATTGGTCAGATTACCTTAAAAAACATTGTTGCCATCCGTCTGACATAGTTTTTTGCAAATCTCTCAGTTTTTAATAACTATTAATTTTTTTACTATTTTTTCTGTGCTCCTTAAACACCCCCAGGCAACACTTCCATAAGAATGACGCCAAATTTGAATCATCCTGTATAAACAACATATATTTTTCTCTAAAACCATTAATATTTTAATTATTTTAACTACTCGTTCATTATACCTATTGTTTATTCATCAAGATTGGGTTGCTATTAAGTGGTTTTTCTTCCTGAATTGCATATTTCATTTATCACTAACTACTTTTTATTCTTCTAACTACTTACTGACTAAAAACTGAAAAAAGGTTTTATATAACGGAATAATCACCTAATCTGACGTAATAACCAGCGACATTAAATAGTCCAAAAATCCAATGAAATTACATTGTTTTTAACAACATTGCTGTCGCCGATTGCTGAGAAAGCCCGTTTCACTTTAATTTTGAATGACCCGCCAGTAATCTGCATAAGATGTCTTGTGAAAAACAAATTCTGTAAGATTACTACTCTTAGATGTCGCCGGAGAACGGAGTTAGTAGACGCTTTGGTCCGAAAGAGGCCCCAACTATCGAACTTTTGACGTTTTAAAAATTTTCGCATAACCAAATATGGCTTTTCCCACAGGTTGAAGTGAATATCGTGAACTAGTTATGAAGTGCCAGTGAATATCAATGCGAAATTAATTTAATAAATTATTATAGATGTAAATAGATACTCAGTTTGGGATTACGGTTTCGCATAGTTGGATTTTGCAAGGTTTGTGTGCTTTTTGGCTTCTAAACGAACGGTTTCAGGTTATGTTTTGAGATATCAAACTTAAATGCTAGTGTTTTTTTTCAAAAAGTCACAAAAAAACCGAGTTAAAAATAAAAATCTTCTTCATGCTACTACACGGTAATTTTTCTCTATAAGTGTGCCCACAGTCAATGTCGTTCTTGCAATTCTAAAAAAGTTTGGCCACCTTGAAGTAGCAGTTCAAACATATTAAATTTCCTCAAATGTATTACTAAAAATAGTTTCAAATACATAATTTAATAATCATTTTGCTGAAATTACGGGCGATTAGTTTCTTATTCTTTACTTTTTACAGTTATACATTGCTCCAAAGTGATTTATATGTTTTGAAATAGTTGCCTTTCCATACTTGTATCTAGCTAAATATTTATTTTTTAATTCAGATGTCCTTTCGTGTAGTTAGAAGTTCAAAATTTAGACATGTTTACGGTCAAGCCCTTAAAAGAGAGCAATGCTATGACAATATCAGGGTCTCGAAGAGTTCTTGGGATTCTACATTCTGTGCAGTCAATCCTAAGTTTATAGCCATCATAGTCGAAAGTGCTGGAGGAGGTGCTTTTATCGTATTACCTCAAGGGAATAAGGTAAGCACAGTTTCTCACTCATTCACATAATAGCTTCTGCTTGTACATAACGTTCTTCTTGAGTAAATCATAAATTTAAACTCTATGTTTGATAGTGTTTTAAAAATATATTAATGACAAGGAAGATGAGGATAGGGAGTAATATAGGAAAGGTCTATTTATATGAATTTTATCTTGAAACTTCTGCAGCTTTGATTGGAATTAAAGTTGTTTATAAGGAGCCAAATGGACTTCAAATTGAACCACAAATGTGAAACAGTTAGTTAAGTAGTTCAATATTTATCTTATTAAATATACTATATTAAAATCACGATTTAACTATTGAAAAAAAAATAGAAGTAATTAAAAATCTCGAATTAACTATTGAGAAATTTTAGAAGTTCTCAGAAACCTCGATTAAGTTAGTAAGGCAATTTCATCCAAGTCGAAGTAATTAATTTAGAAGTACTTACCTACTTAATCTTGGAAATTTAACTTAATCTGTCTAATACAAAAGAGTGACCGATTTTCAAACCAATTATATGGTTCAAATAAATGTTTGGGTGCAAATCCTTTCAAATTAAAACCTCTCGATCCAATATAATAACTATTC